CCATGCTGATTGCCCCTGAGGGAGACCCGGATGCACCAGACATCCCGACCCCACGCTCCTACGCAGAGGCGATGGAGGGTCTCTACTCCTCTCAGTGGCAGACAGCCATGGACGCAGAGATGGCTTCCTGGAAGTCCACAGGCACCTACGTCGACGAGGTTCCCCCACCTGGGGCGAACATCGTCAGTGGCATGTGGATTTTCAGGGTGAAGCGGCCGCCGGGTTCTCCGCCTGTATTCAAGGCGCGTTACGTTGCACGAGGCTTCAGTCAGCGAGAGGGAGTTGACTTCTTCCAGACCTTCTCCCCAACCCCGAAGATGACCACTCTTCGGGTTCTGCTGCACGTCGCTGCTCAGCGTGACTACGAGCTCCACTGCCTTGACTTCAGCACTGCGTTCCTATAGGGCACCCTGCACGAGGAGATCTGGCTGCGCCGCCCACCTGACTTCACTGGGTCGTTCCCTCCTGGTACCCAGTGGAGCCTCCGGCGGCCAGTCTACGGTCTCCGCCAGGCACCTCGTGAGTGGCACGACACACTGAGGACTACTCTTGCTGCTCTTGGGTTTGCTCCTTCTACTGCTGACCCGTCGCTGTTTCTATGCACCGACACCACTCTGCCGCCGTTCTACGTTCTCGTGTACGTTGACGACTTGGTCTTTGCTACCGCTGACACTGAGGCACTCGCCCACGTGAAGTCGGAGCTGCAGAAGAGACACACCTGCACAGACCTGGGTGAGCTGACAAGCTATCTTGGCTTACGGATCACCCGGGACAGAGCACAGCGCACCATCACCCTGACTCAGTCACACATGGTGCAGCAGGTCCTTCAGCGCTTCCGCTTCACGTACTCCTCGCCTCAGCCCACTCCTCTGCCTACCGGTCACTCGCTCTCAGCTCTGCCTTCGGATGAGTCCGTAGAGCCAAGTTGCCCGTATCCAGAGCTTGTGGGCTGCCTCATGTACCTGATGACCTGCACTCGACCCGACCTAGCCTACCCTCTTAGCATCCTAGCACGCTATGTCGCTCCTGGCCGTCACCGGAAGGAGCACATGGATGCAGCTAAGAGGGTGTTGCGCTACTTGTGCAGTACGTCGGGCATGGGGCTTGTGCTTGGAGGACGGCGCGACGTTGTCCTCACTGGACACTCAGACGCTTCTTGGGCTGACGACCAGGCTACTCAGCGGTCGTCTCAGGGTTACACCTTCAGCCTTGGCTCTGGCTCTCTTTCCTGGCGTTCTACACGCTCTTCCTCTGTTCTCAGCTCCAGTTGTGAGGCTGAGATCTACGCCACAGCCATGGCTGCCCAGGAGCTACGCTGGCTCACCTACCTGCTGACCGGCCTGGGAGAGCGGCCTCGTTCTCCTCCAGTGCTGTACGTCTACAACAAGGCCGCCCTTGCCTTGTGTCAGGAGCACAGACTGGAGCACAGAACGAAGCACATCGCTCTGCGCTACTTCCTTGCTCGAGAGCTGCAGCAGCGTGGTCAGCTTCGTCTTTCGTACGTGGCCACTCGGGCCAACACTGCTGATGTGTTCACCAAGGCGCTTGAGCCTTGTGACCATCAGCGTTTCTGTACTGTTCTAGGCCTTGTGCCTACTCTCCCTCACTTGCTCACTTCATGACTCTGCTTGTACTGTGATCTCTATATATATACCTGCATGCTTACACCTGCTAGGTTGTGATCACTGTACCTCTTGTTTATTATCAAACTGCATGTGAACTGGTCTTGTGACCGCTTGCTTGTGCTCGGAATTTGTGTGGTATCCTTGAGATCCACCCTGAGCTTTGCTTTGCTTTGCTTTGCTTTGACTGGTCTTGTGACCATCTGGTTGTCTTCCACTTAGCCTATGGGGGTGTGTCAAACATTGTATGTGTACATTGTGTAGGCTATAGTGGGTTTAGCCTTAGGGGGTACAACAAACTTAGGGTTTCCTACTTGTACCCAACTTTCTGCTAGTTCATCCATTCTCGTTCTCTCTCACTTTTTAACAATAAAGAGGACCATTTAGGGTGAAATGCAGACAAGATTACAACCCTAGGATGTGCCATTTGACGCGCGTCGAAGATTGATGGCGCACGGAACAGGGCTCCTGCACGCGCGATAAGACAAAGGCGCGCTCAAGGCAACGCATGACCCACTGCACGAGGCCGCCCCTACCCACTGCAGGTGGCCGCCGCTGGCGGACTGGGGCGATGTCGAGTGCACGGTGGGCCTATGCCATGGTCGCTTGCTAGCTGGACGCTCCGCGCGCCATTCCTAATGCTATGCCAAAAACTTTTGCTAAACGCTCAAAGTCGAACGTATCTTCGTATACTGCCTCCTGAACGAATGTATGTACGACTCAATGAGCCAATGTGGAATGTATGGCTCCTTACTTACGATGTTAGATTCCTAAGGCTGAACGAAGGTGAGAAGTTAGGTTAGGTTGCGGAAATATGTCGAGGGGAAAGATGTGCCCAGGACATCAAGTTTAGGGGTTCCTCCTCCCTAGTGTCGAAATCGGGTCGGGTCAATGCCCGACCCGGCTACCATGAATTTTACCTAATTTCGGGTCGGGGCAATGTCGGGCCAAAAACCACCCGACCCAATTTCAACCAGGCCAATGAAATACTTGACCCGACCCGGGGAAATTTCTGGGCCGGGTCGCCGGCCCGACCCGACCGGAGCGATAGCTCATGCCTAGGTGAAAAAGGAGTGGGAAAGGGTGATGGAGGGAGGCCAGAAGTAGGAAGGGGGCGGGAAGAGAAGGGGCAAATGCAGGAGAACGGAGTGGTGGGCTAAAAAAAGAGATGGTGAAGATCAAGTGAGTCGCATCTGTGCTGTGAGATGGAAGGTGGTCTGCTTAATCCCAGCGACAAGCACTCAATGCGTCACGGCGTTGAGGACATACAGATAGGTGACCTTCCTGAGGTTGCTGAGGGAGTTTGGAATCTGCCCTGCCAGCTTGTAGCTTCGGAGTTGCCTGTTTTATTCATGGTGTGTGAGTTATGGTGTGTGAATGCTGGCGTGTCAATAAGGCGTGTCAATGCGGGTGTGTGAATGACGGTGTGTGAATGACGGTGTGTGAATGACGGTGTGTGAATGATGGTGTGTGAATGACGGTGTGTGAATGACGGTGTGTGAATGACGGTGTGTGAATGATGGTGATGGTGTATCAATGATGGTGTGTGAGTGTTGGTGTGCAGTGATGGTGTGTCAAGGATGGTATGCAGTGAGCATCGATCCTCAGGCCAGAGAGCACCCTCTTACACTCACCCTCTAACTCAGTGAGTCGTACCCGATCACTCCCATCCTCTCACTCCCATACCCTCCCCTCCCTCCCTCCCACCGCCTCCCTTTCATCGCCTCACAGGGCCACGATCATGCCGGAGGGGTCGCACGTGAGGTCCGTGGCATTGCTGCAGTCGGGACTCACGCCACTCCACTCGGGGATGCTCTGCCCCCATGCCGCCTGGCACTCCTGCAGGAATTGCACTGCAACGAGGGGCAGGGGGTGGGGGGCAGAGGGACGAAAGGGGGGATGGGGGGGGAGTAGAGGGTGGAAGAGAATTCAGGATGGGAGGGTGACTCACGACGAACCTCGTGGCTAACGTCAGCCCGAACGGGACTCACGTTCTAGTATCGCCATCCTGTGTTGCCCTTGCTCTCTGTCCTTCCACTTCGCCTCTCTCTTTCGCAAACCTTGTCGCACCATTCACCCCACAGGGACGAGCACTTCAACAGCCTGCTCTGGCGGACAAAGTTTCAGCACCTAGTAGTGTGATGGGACGTCACCAAACAGCATCGTCTCTACTGTCACAACTTTGGCCTCCACTAGCTGTTCCCTAACGCGCCCCTTGCCCTTAACACACATGACCACGAGACGAGCGAAGCCTGGCTTGCCTCGAGCCTGCTGTTGTTCAAATTCTTTCCGATTTCAAGTCGATTCGAGTGACCCCTTGCCCTTGCTCTCTGCCCCTCGCCTTGATCTCTGTCCCTCGCACTTGCTCTCTATCCCTTGCCCTTTTCTCTCTGTCCCTCGCCCTTCCTTGCCCTTTCACTCTGTCCCGCCCTGCTCTCTGTCCCTCGCCGCCCTTACTCTCTCATCGCGGAAAAGGAAAATGTCAAAATTGGGGGTCCGAAGGTTTTTCTACGAAAAACCTGCGTCTGAGTTGCGCGAAGTGTCCAAAAAACAACGCTGGCGAAACGCTACATTCCGTACACCAGTACCGGACGTTTTCACGGACGCAAAACCGTCACCCGAAAGCTGCATTCCCGTCGACATTTTCGAGTCAATCGGTCTCGTGCGGTCGAGAGAGTTTGCAAGCGGTAATGGAGAGTAAAAATGACAGTGGGATGTAACAACAAACTTAACGAAACGAAACGACCCCACGACTTTTTCACGAAATCCAGCAAGATTGCAAAACTGGATACATTGTTTTCGTTTTTTATCCCAAATCTGAACCCCAACCACCCAAACCAGCCGACACACGCTAGATGCTTCTTCAGAGGTGTGACGTGTGAGCCCAAATATCATTTTTAACCAATCACTGTTGAAAATCCCTCAAACCACACGTGCCATTTTGAACACGTCAGCACACTCAGCCTATCCAAACCAAACCAAACGCCCACCTCCCCGTTCCATCCGCCCACCTCATCTTTCCACCCCGTAGCAGACCGAGCATATTTCTAGCATTCACGTACTTATTATCTCCTACGCACACATATCACTCACTTCCTCAGACTGTAACTCTCTTCTTCAACTTCTGCAATTCTCTTCCAACTTATGCAACTCTCTTCGTAACCTCCGCACTCATCGTCCAACCCTTCGTAACCTCCGCACTCATCGTCGAAATATGAGACCCGGGTTACATCAGATAGCCAAGCTGCCGCCCATCGACATTCTATGTAAGTACTCCCCCCACTTTATTGTTCGACACATTCTAACCTTTACCAACTTTTCCTTCGCCCCTACGTCCCTTCTGCAACGCCCCCCTGACCCGTCCCCTCCCCTTTTCAGACGAGAGTTTCGTGCCGTCGCTTATATACGCGGTGCTGGGCACGGAGCGGTACATCACGGCACATCGCGATCCAGCTGGTTTCTCATCTGCATCGTCGAAATGAGATGAACGCCACCGGTAACGGTTGTAAGTGTCTTCCTATGGTGTTAAACGATGTTGTTTCCCAGGATGCGATGCTCGGTTTGTTCCCTTTTCCGATCCTTCTCCATGCAGCTCTTGCGTTTCTCTCGGGAACGTCCAGCACTTGAAACGTTGTCGTCGGTCTTGTATCGGCGCAGCAGAGATTTTGTGCGTTTTCGTGAACCTGTTTTCACTATCTCCCTTTCTCACCCCTTTTCTCACCTCCATTTCAGACGTGCGATCTTCTATTCGGCTATCAGCAATGTGAGCGGCAGTAAATTCGATGAGAAAGGTGTTCGTATCACTGGTGCGGTTTATGTTAGTATGTACGCGATGTTCTGGCGTACGTACATCACTTCCTGGTAACCGTTCATTGGTTTATGTTTGCTGCTTTATTTCATGTTGTTGTTGTCCAACGTTTGCAGCTCCTAACTAAGGTTGCGACCAAGACTGTCGCAACTGCATCGCAGTCGAAATACAATGCAATGGCTAAGTATGTGTCGTTTGGTGAGTTGCAAACTCGTTAACCACTTACCCCGCTGGAGCAATTTCTGTGCTCATGCGTAAGAGCAAGGTTTGCTCGTTGTGCAGGGAATACATATTCTAGCAGGCTTATTGACAAGCGGAATTGCACAAAGTAATATTTTACCCATTTCTGCACGCCTCTAAGCACAAAAGAATATCTGGTGAGTGCTGAACTGCATACTTCGAAGTGCAGGTTGTACAAGCTTTTACCTTGCTATCTATTTTGCAGGCAATATCAACAAGTAGCACCTAAACGGTTGTTGTGATGTTTAGCTATGCTGTACGATGTTATGGTGGATTGGGAAGATAGTACATTTAATTTGTATGACAACGTTTAATTTTTAATAATACAGGCTGTCAGAACTATGCATATATGCTCTAGGCTGTAGTGGGGCACTTCTTATGGGGTACAGCCTAAATTAGGTTTGGCCTATACAAACCTTGTACTGCTCTCTTTCTAGCCATTCTTTCCTTCTCATTTCTGACATGGTTTCAGAGCAGGTTCCCTAGTGGGAACGTTTTTTTTTTAGGGCCCACCACGATAATTTTTTTTTTCCTGCCCTGCCCGAAGCGCGCCTCGCGCCTGCCTCACCTGCGCCGTCGCGCGCCCTGCCCTACTGCCGCCCGTCGCGGCCCTGCCCTCCCGGCCCGTCGCGGCCCTGCCCTAACGGCCCGTCGCGGCCCTGACCTTGCCACCCGTCGCGGCCCGGTCCTGTCGCCGCCCGTCGCGGCCTGACCTAGCCGCCCGTCGCGGCCTGATCTAGCCGCTCGTCGCGGCCCTGCCCTGCCGCCTCAGTTGCGGCCCTGACCTCGCCGCCCGTCGCGGCACTGCCCTGCCGCCACTCGTCGCGGCCCTGCCCTCAGCCGCTTGTCGCGGCCCTGCTCTACCGCCGCCCCGTCGCGGCCCTGCCCTGCCGCCGCCCAGTCGCGGCCGTGCCCTGCAGCCGCCGTGTTGCGGCCCTGCCCTGCTGCCGCCCCGTCGCGGCCCTGCTCTGCCGCCGCCTCGTCGCGGCCCTGCCTTACCGCCGCCCCGTCGCGGCCCTGACCTACCCGCCAGCTGCGGCCCTGGCCTGCACCCGCCCCTGGTAAGCGCCTGCCTGCCTGCCGCGCCGCGCCACGCAGCCGAGCCGCGCCGCCCAGCCGAGCCGCGCCGCCCTGCCGAGCCGCGCCGCCCTGCCCTACTGAGCCGCGCTGCCCTGCCCGCGCTGCCCCTGCTACTGCAGCTGCTTCTGCTGCTTCTGCTGCTCCTGCTGCTGCTGCTGCTACTGCCGCCATGGCTAGCCCTAATGTTCTTACCTTTGATACTGAGGGTCGTGCGGTTGACTTCGACGTTTGGGTAGATGACCTGCAGCTCTTTCTTCAGTGCGAATCTAAGGAAGGAGTCTCGCTTTTCGATCACACGTCCGGCGTCTCTGCTGCACCTGCTGCCAGTGCTGGCAGTACCATTCGCTCGCAGTGGACTACTCGTGACGCTGTTGCTCGCCTTGCTGTTCGTAGTCACCTGCCGTCTGCTGAGCGCGCGCACTTTGGCCAGTACAAGACTGCTAAGTCTTTGTATGACGCTGTCGTAGCGCGCTACTCCTCCCCTGCCACTGCTGCCCTCAGTCGCATCATGCTGCCGTACCTGTTCCCTGACCTGGCCGCCTTTCACACAGTTGCTGACCTCATTACGCACCTCCGCACTAGTGACGCCCGCTACCGCGCTGCGCTTCCCTCCGAGTTCTGCGCCAAGACCCCCCCCCCCATGTACATCACCCTCTTCTACCTAGTCACCCGTCTCCCTGACTCTCTTTGCTCAGTCAGGGACTACTTTCTCTCCCTTTGCCCCATCGAGCTCACCGTCGACCTGCTAGAGGAGCGCCTCACTGCAGCTGAGAAGAGCACAGTTGCTGTAGGTGCTTCTCGTGGCGACCCTCGCGCCCCTTTCTTTGAGGGGTGTTCCCCCGTTCCCCTTCTGCCCTCTGTTGCTTCTGCTGCTGCTGTCGACCTCGTTGGCACTGAGGAGGTCGGGGCTGCGACTGCTCCTAGTGGGAGGCGCCGCAGCGGCAAGGGCAAGGGGGGCAAGGGTGGTGGAGGGGATGGGGGGGCGGCGGTGGAGGCGGTGGAGGAGGCGGAGGGGGTGGCGGTGGAGGTGGGGGTGGTGGCGGGAGTGGGGGAGTCGGTAGCGGCGGTGGAGGTGGTGGAGGCAGCGGCAGCGGCGGTGGAGGCAGCGGTAGCGGCAGTGGAGGTGGCGGCGGCGGTGGTGCTGGTCGAGGTGGAGCCGCGCAGCGTGGAGGCTTTGGCGGTAGCCAGCGCCAGCAGCAGCCGCGTTCCCGTGAGACCCTGTCACCCCAGCAGCTTCGTGAGTGGTACGCTGGGCGTGGGAGGTCTGGGGGTGCTGGTCCCTGCACTTACGTTCTCCGCACCGGCGTGCGCCATGGGGAGACGTGCGGACTGCCACACACTACGCAGCGCTGTTTGGGTCGCCTGACTGACGCCTGGCGCGCCCTGTTTCCTGACGCCGGTGACCTCCCTCGCTGGGGTGATCTGCTTAAGTCTGGTGTTGCTATCTTTGATCTTGATTTCGATGCTATCCTTGCTGCCATGTATGCTGTGACTGATAGTGCTGAGGGTGACTGTTACCTGTGTGTTCCGCCCGACCCGGGCATTGAGGCTGCTGCTCTAGGTGCTAGTGAGTCTGCTGCTCAAGGTGCTAGTGAGTCTGCTGCTCCAGGTGCTGGTGAGTCTGCTCTCTCTGGTACTGCGCATGCTGAGGCCTTGCACACCTTCACACTTGACTCAGGTGCTTCCCACTCCTTCTTTCGCGACAGCACCACACTCACGCCGCTCAGTCGGCCGGTTGCAGTCTCCCTGGCGGACCCCTCTGGGGGCCCAATCCTTGCGCACTCCTCCACGGTTTTGCCGTGTCCGGCGGCCCCGTCGGGCTCACTGTCGGGTCTTCACCTCCCCTCGTTCTCTACGAACTTGGTGAGTGGAGCTGACCTCCAGGACGTGTGGGTTGACCAGTTCACTCCTGGAGGTCAGCGTGTGACCCACTGTACGTGCACTCGGACGGGCCGCCACCTGGCCACGTTCACCCGTCGGCCGGGGTCGAGCCTGTACACACTGACTACTGAGTCTCCTCCGGTTGCTGCGTCTAGTCAGGTAGCCGCGTCTGGTCAGGTGTTTGCTGCCGCGTCCAGGTCTGGTCCGGAGTCTGCCCCCTGCTCGTGTCAAACTCTGTCACACGAGACTCTCATTTGGCACCACCGCCTTGGTCACCCCTCCCTGCCTCGTCTCCGAGGTATGGCCTCCCGTACCTTTGTCTCTGGTCTTCCCCGGTCTCTCCCTCCCCTCCCACCGGGGCCTGCCCCTACCTGCGTTCCTTGCGTCGAGGGACGGCAGCGCGCCGCTCCTCACTCCTCCGAGTTCCCTCCGACGGAGGCTCCCATGCAGACTCTCCACATGGACGTGTGGGGCCCAGCCCGCATCCGTGGACAGGGTCACGAGCGTTACTTTCTGCTGGTCGTTGACGACTACTCGCGTTACACCACAGTCTTCCCCTTGCGCCGCAAGGGTGAGGTCACTGAGGTGTTGATCGACTGGATCCGCGCTGCCCGTCACCAGCTCAGCGAGTGTTTCGGCTCGGACCTTCCTGTTCTGCGTCTGCACTCCGACACAGGGGGTCAGTTTTCCTCCGACCTTCTGCGGGCTTTCTGTCGTGCGGAGGGCATCCACCAGACGTTCACGCTTCCGGCCTCCCCACAGCAAAATGGGATTGCTGAGCGCCGCATTGGCATGGTCATGGACGTCGCTCGCACGTCCATGATCCAAGCGGCTGCTCCCCATTTTCTGTGGCCGTTCGCAGTCCAGTACGCTGCGCATCAGCTCAACCTCCAGCCTCGTGTCTCCGTGCTGGAGACCACACCTACTCTGCGGTGGACGGGGAAGGTTGGCGATGCGTCTGTGTTCCGTATCTGGGGATCTCGAGCGTTTGTCCGCGATTCTTCCGCGGACAAGCTGTCCTTCCGTGCTGTTCCCTGCGTCTTCCTTGGCTTCCCCCCTGACGCGCCTGGTTGGCAGTTTTACCACCCCACCTCGCGTCGTGTTCTGTCCTCTCATGACGTCACGTTTGACGAGTCGGTACCTTACTACCGTCTCTTTCCCTACCGCACTGCCCCTCTCCCCCCCCCCGCCGCTCTTCCTAGCACCAGGTGCTCCTCCGGTAGACCCCCTCCCCCCTCAGGGTCCTGCCCCCTCAGGTGTGTCCCAGGTAGACCCTGTCGAGCCTGTCGAGGTAGCTGTTGACTCAGGTGCTGCTAGGGGTGCTGAGCCTGCGGGTGCGGGGCCTGGGGGTGCTAAGCCTGGGGTTGTTGAGTCTGAGGGTGCGGAGCCTGGGGGTGCTGAGCCTGAGCATGCGGAGCCTGGAGGTGCTGAGTCTGGGGGTGCTGCGCCTGGGGGTGCTGAGCCTGAGCGTGCTGAGTCTGGAGGTCCTCCGGGTGTCTTGTCCCGGCGGGAGCCCCTCTCTCCACAGCAGCTGCGCGAGTGGTACGCTCGGCGCTGTAGCCGTGCTGCTGGAGCTGGGGGGTCTACCGCTGGAGGTGCTACCAGAGCTGGAGCTGCTGGAGGTCCTGCTGGTGCTGTAGCTGCCGGAGGTGCTCGTACTGGAGGTACTGGAGCTGCTAGAGCTGGAGCTGCTGGAGGTACTGTTGGTGCTGGAGCTGCTGGAGGTGCTGGAGTCGCTGGTCCCGGAGGTGCTCATACTGGAGGTACTGGAGCTGCTGGAGTTGGAGCTGCTGGAGGTACTGCTGGTGCTGGAGCTGCTGGAGGTGCTGGAGTCGCTGGTCCCGGAGGTGCTCGTACTCGAGGTACTGGAGCTGCTGGAGCTGGAGCTGCTGGAGGTACTGCTGGTGCTGGAGTTGCTGGAGCTGGTGGTGCTGCAGGAGTTGGAGCTGGAGGCGCTGGAGCTGTTGCTGCTGGAGGTGCTGATGGAGCTGGAGCTGCTGGAGGTGCTGGAGCTGGTGGTGCTGCAGGAGTTGGAGCTGGAGGCGCTGGAGCTGTTGCTGCTGGAGGTGCTGCCGGAGGTGCTGCTGGAGCTGCGGACCCTGGAGCTGGGGGTACTGGTGCTGTCTCTGCTGGTTCTGGAGGCGCTGCGCGGCCGCGCCCGTACTTCGTTCCACTCCTTCAGCAGGTTCTTGGCCTCCCGCCATCTACTGGTCCTACTCCTCCCTTACTGTGTCCACCGCCTGACCAGTCGCAGTCGCAGTTACAGCCAGCCTCTCTGCTGCCTGGTCCTTCTCCTTACTCTGGGCCGACTAGGGGTCTTACGGAGCGTCGTGAGCCTGAGTCTCGTCTTGCATCGCCTGTTCGCACTGTTCGCACTGGTCGTGTTCCGCGTCCGCGTCCGCCAGCTGTCCCAGGCACGCACCGGATGGCACTCCGTCCTTCCACTGCTCCACAGCGTGTCCCTCTTCCGTCTCCTCCTGCGTCCTCTCTTCCTGACGTCCCTGACCCGCCGTCAGACCGTGCTCGTGCTGCCAGTCCTACTGTCACGCGTCTTCTAGCCACTGTTGTCACTGACCCTTCGTTTGAGTCCACTGCTGCGTCTGCCCTAGTTGCTGAGCTTGTTGACTTTGCTGCCGCCTGTCGTCTAGACTACGCCGCTAGTCTTGTTGCTGAGTCTGAGTCTGTCTGTCCTCCGTCCGTCGGGGGTGAGTGTGCTCTTGGCACGGACGTCCTTGAGGACAGGCAGGAGTACTTTGAGTGTTTTGCAGCTGCTGTACCTCATCTCGTGTCCATGCTGGTTGCACCTGAGGGAGACCCGAATGCACCAGACATCCCGACCCCGCGCTCTTACGCAGAGGCGATAGAGGGTCCCTACTCCTCTCAGTGGCAGACAGCCATGGACACACAAATGGCATCCTGGAAGTCCACAGGCACCTACGTTGACGAGGTTCCCCCACCTGGGTCGAACATCGTAAGTGGCATGTGGATTTTCAGGGTGAAGCGGCCGCCGGGTTCTCCGCCTGTCTTCAAGGCGCGTTACGTTGCACGAGGCTTCAGTCAGCGACAGGGAGTTGACTTCTACCAGACCTTCTCCCCCACCCCGAATATGACCACTCTTCGGGTACTGCTGCACGTCGCCGCTCAGCGTGTCTACGAGCTTCACTCTCTTGACTTCAGCACTGCTTTCCTACAGGGCAGCCTGCACGAGGAGATCTGGCTGCGCCGCCCACCTGGCTTCACTGGGTCGTTTCCTGCTGCTACCCAGTGGAGCCTCCGACGGCCAGTCTACGGTCTCCGCCAGGCGCCTCGCGAGTGGCACGACACACTGAGGACGACTCTTGCGGCTCTTGGGTTTGCATCTTCTACTGCTGACCCGTCACAGTTTCTACGCACCGACACTTCGCTGCCGCCGTTCTACATCCTCGTGTGCGTCGACGACTTGGTCTTTGCCACTGCTGACACTGAGGGACTCGCCCACGTGAAGTCGGAGCTGCAGAAGAGACACACGTGCACAGACCTGGGTGACCTGCGCAGCTATCTTGGCTTGCAGATCACCCGGGACAGAGCACAGCGCACCATTACCTTGACTCGGTCACACATGGTGCAGCAGGTCCTTCAGCGCTTCCGCTTCGAGTACTCCTCGCCACAGGCCACTCCTCTGCCTACCGGTCACTCGCTCTCAGCTCTGCCTTCGGATGAGTCTGTAGAGCCGAGTGGCCCGTATCCAGAGCTTGTGGGCTGCCTCATGTACCTGATGACCTGCACTCGACCTGACCTTGCTTACCCTCTTAGCATCCTAGCACGCTACGTTGCGCCCGGGAGACACCGACCAGAGCAGTGGAAGGCCGCTAAGAGGGTGATGCGCTACTTGTGCAGTACGTCGGGCATGGGGTTCGTGCTTGGAGGACGGGCTTGAGTTGTCCTCACAAGTCACGCAGACACTTCTTGGGTTGACGACTTGGCTACGCAGCGGTCGTCACAGGGTTACACCTTCAGCCTTGGCTCCGGCTCTATTTCTTGGCGGTCTACCTTCTCGTCTTCTGTTCTCAGCTCCAGTTGTGAGGCTGAGATCTACGCAGGGGCCATGGCTGCACAGGAGTTACGCTGGCTCACCTACCTGCTGACCGACTTGGGCGAGCCGCCTCGTTCTCCTCCAGTTCTGTACGTCGACAACAAGGCCATGATTGCCTTGTGTCAGGAGCACAGACTGGAGCACAGAACAAAGCACATCGCTCTGCGCTACTTCCTTGCTCAAGAGTTGCAGCAGCGTGGTCAGCTTCGTCTTGTCTACGTGGCCTCTCAGGCCAACACTGCTGATGTCTTCACCAAGGCACTTCAGCCTTGTGATCATCAGCGTTTCTGTACTGTTCTAGGCCTTGTGCCTACTTGGCCTCACTTGCTCACTTCTTGACTTTGCCTGTACTGTGATCTATATACTTATGCCTGCATACTTCCACCTGCTAGGTTGTGATCACTGTATTGCTTGTTCTTCTTTATATATAACTCTGCATGTGAACTGGCCTTGTGGCCATTTGCTTGTGCTAAGAATGTGTGGTGACGTTGTGATCCATCCTGAGCTTGACTTTGCTTCGTTCACTTGTTTGTCACTTTGCCTATGGGGGTGTGTCAAAACTATGCATATATGCTCTAGGCCGTAGTGGGGCACTTCTTATGGGGTACAGCCCAAATTAGGTTTTGCCTATACAAACCTTGTACTGCTCTCTTTCTAGCCATTCTTTCCTTCTCATTTCGGACACAGGCATATGCGCGCATTCATATGAAAGTAGAAATGTGAAATTTGTATCAAAACGAAGAAATAGTAAAACATCGTCAGCCAATAGGAGATCGTTTCCGCACACCAAAATGCTATGTGATTGGTTTACATGGTACGCTCATGTGCGTCGATTTTAATCTGATCCGACGGCTGTCGTTCGAGTACGATGACAGCCACGTCAGCATGTTTGAGTTTCATCTATAGTACGTCGTATGTCACGTGGCGTTGTCGTGACACTTTCGCGTAGGTTGCTCAAGAGTGACGTTTTCCACCCCCCTAGTTGCTTTACCGTATACCTCACAATTGCATCGAAGTGTACAGTTTGTGTTGGGAATGTGACGGGAAAGTCACTTCGCAAGTTACTGACGCTACCACAGTTTTCGACTAAGACTTTTTTCTTGCGCGGAAAATGCAACTGGAAAGTTACGAAACAGAAACTTTTAGGTTTTTTTTCGCACTTCCCTTTTCCGCGATGCTGTCCCTCGCCGCCCTTGCTCTCTTTGTCTCTTGCTCTCTATCCGTCGCCCTTGCTCTCTATCCCTTGCCCCATTTCACTCTGTCCCTTGAGCGCCACTTGCCTTGCGTGGCTTCGAGCGGAACGGCGTTCACCATCGCGACGGCGTTCATCGCGACGAGCCAACATGCCACTGCACGTGCGCGCTGTACGCGCTCACGATCATGTGCCATTGTCGCCGTACGGCCCGCAAACGGCCGCACGCCCACTCCGCGAACCCGCCAATTCTCCCTTGCCCTCCTAAAGCCTCGCCTCTTCTCCCTTCCAAGCCACCTTCACAGACCGCAACTACTGATTGTTGGCCTTCCCTAATTACGCGTTGAAAACGTGCTGCTGGTCCTAACTCGGCACGTGTTTTTCACTTACCAGTCATTCTAGGTTGGACTCAAAAAAACGGGGACACGATTTTCGTTGTAGTGTATTTTCGTTGCGCGAACAGTACTCCAATTTGTCAACACGTTTGGTGGGTATATATCTATCGAATTTTGTACATTGTTGTAAAGAAATATCATTTTCCTTACTGCGAACCCCTGCTTACCGCGTACACAACTGTTTCCGCCAACAGTAAACCGTTACCACTCGCGACACTCGCCTCGACCACTGTTCCCGCCACTGTTCACATCGCGATCCAACCTCACGGCTCGGTAGGTAACCCGCGCTCCGGTCCTCCGCCTCGACAAATTCCCAACCTCGTCGAGCACCCCGCGTTACTATTACCACGCTAGTTCGCCACATAACATTTGCTCATTCCTTCGTTCAATGTCATGTTTTTGGTTCGATAGTGCAATCCTTGTTCGCCTACTTAATTGCACTCGTAAGACTTGGTATTTAGAGCCACGACACTTTTCGGACCGCGCCTGCACCTTCGCTTCCCACATTTTCTGAATTTTTGGAGGGGGGGACGTCCCTCAGAGACTAAGAACCGCTGCCTGTGTGCTCTCTCGTAAGCACACACGGCCACGACTGAGGCTCTCGCCGAGCTAGCCTGACACCCGCCATGGACGAAATCGCCCGCATTCCACTCGAAGGTCTGACGCGGGAGCGCTTCGACGAAACCATGCGCCAGCCGCAGGAGTCGGCGCTTGAAATTGCGACATTGACGGCGGAACGCAACTCCTCGGCTCAGCAATCATCGGCGAATGCACCAGCGCCAGTACCAACAAATGCACCTACACAATCTGAGGAGCCAATTGTCATCTCATCAGGAACGCCATCGCAACACGACAGCGTGGGACAATGCTCTCGCGCAATCAGTGATGGCGCCGCCCAATCCATGCTGGGCATGGAACGAGCCAGGGAGATGCCGGGCGCAAACACACCTCGCGAAGCCCGTCGTCACGTCAGCATTGCGGCTCTTGTCAGTAGCAACGACATCGGTGAGCCAATGCCGCTCAAGCCGCAACGCCCGCCCTGTTTCGATCCTAGCCAGTGTAGGGGGTCTGAAGGTTCAGTCGTGGATCTTCACAATGAACGTGTTTTTTTTACGCGAACTACGTCACATCGGATGCAACGAAGATTCAAGACGCCGTTTCCTGGCTGCGCGGGCCCGCCATGGACTGGTGGCGAGTTATCGTAACGTCGGGGGAGAGGCCCTCGGGGCCAGCTGTAAACTGGAGTTCATTATGCAAGTCGCCCAAACAACACGTGGGGCGCGTGGTACACAGGGCATCGGGAGCGCTTTGAGCCAATCGCGGCTTCGATCTCAGCACGCCAGAAGCTGCGCACTTGGCGGCAGCTTGGGTCGGTTCAAAATTACACCAACGTTTTTCTCGCGCTGTGGGAGCAGGTTGGCTACGTGCACGAAGCAGAGCGAGTGGATCGCTATGTCGGCGGCTTGAAGCCGGAAATTTCGCAGGAAATTCTACTCCGCGGAATTTCGAACTTCAACGAAATCGTGGCGCTCGCCCAAAAAATCGACATTCTACGCCGTTTGAGGCCGGAGTCCTACCACTACGGACATCGTATTTGGGGAACGACCGAGCACGCCACTGTAAACGATGTCGCAACGAACGCAACTTCCGCACCATTTAAGGGGCGCTGTTTCGCGTTAAACCGGACGGGCCACCGCAAGAGTGAATGCCCAGAGGAGTTAAGGCGCCGTGGATCAGAGCAGGGGAGGGAGTCAGGGAGGCAAGGAAACGCTAGCAGTCAGTAGAGTACGGGCCCAATACTGACGAGACTCACTGCTCGCCCGACCCCACTGACCCTCACCGAGTGACGGTACCCAATTCACGCAATCGATCGGGCTCGGCTGGATAGGTGGGTACAGCGACAGATTGCCCAGTACTAATATACGGGAAAATACAGGGGACAACAGTGAAGATTTTTATTGACGGATGAGCTAGTCATAGCTTAGTTAATACCGCAACTGGCGATACGGGAGATCGATGCACGCTTAGTGGACGGCACGCCGCTGGCGATACGGGAGAAAGTGGATAGAGTGAAAGTTTGCAGCGGAGGGGAATTTTGGGTTTACACTAGAAATGCTCGTGACGACGCTGGATGGGACCGACATTTTATTGGGATGTGATTGGCTGCAACGCTACAACCCACGAATTGACTGGACGATAGGCAGCTGCACTGTGCGAAGCGGCGGTAACTGGGTCGCGCTACCTCGATGGCAGTCGCCTGAGTCTTCAACAGTCACGTCAACACCATCACGATGAAACGGGCCGTCGTTTCGGGACCAGACATGTACGCGTTGGACATTGTGGAAGTAGGGGAAGCCGAGAAGCCGGGCGACATGTACCCTAGACACTGCTGGCAGCCGTACCGCCCGAACTACAGGAGCTACGAAAACGGTACCCCGGGATTTTTCCCGATGACTTACCAGAGGGACTGCCACCTCAGCGAGCACACGAACACCGCATAGAGTTAGAACCGGGGTCACAGCCAACCATACAGCAACAGTTCCAGCTAACACTGTATGGGAATGGAATGAACTAGCAGCATGCAGGAGTACAAGTAGCAAACCCTAATTGGGTTGTACCCCATATGGGCTACCCCACTACAGCCTACATAATATGTAACATATAAGTTTGACACACCCCCATAGGCAAAGTGGGGGAGAACAAGAGGTCACAAGACCAGTCAAGGAAAGCAAGGCAAGCTCAGTGTGGATCACGAAGTCACCACACACTCTGAGCACAAGCAAATGGCCACAAGGCCAGTTCACATGCAGAGTTATACAATGCAGAACAACCAGTACAGTGATCAAGACCTAGCAAGTGTAAGCATGCAGGTATAAGTATATAGATCACAGTACAAGCAAAGTCAAGAAGTGAGCAAGTGAGGCCAAGTAGGCACAAGGCCTAGAACAGTACAGAAACGCTGATGATCACAAGGCTGAAGTGCCTTGGTGAAGATATCAGCAGTGTTGGCCCGAGAGGCCACGTAAACAAGACGAAGCTGACCACGCTGCTTCAACTCACGAGCAAGGAAGTAACGCAGAGCGATGTGCTTCGTCCTGTGCTCCAGTCTGTGCTCCTAACACAAGGCAATCATGGCCTTGTTGTCGACGTACAGAACTGGAGGAGAATGAGGCGTCTCTCCCAAGTCTGTCAGCAGGTAGGTGAGCCAGCGTAACTCCTGTGCAGCCATGGCTCCTGCGTAGATCTCAGCCTCAAAA